GGCTGTGCGGGGCGGCTGCCGCACGTGCCTCGTCCTGAGCTAACCCGGCGCCGCCGGTGGGACCCGGGATGTTATAGCCCCGGGCAGAGTAGGCACGAGCAAGGAGAAGAACGGGGGTGCAGGGAAGCGAGGCGCTGCGGGGTGAAGTGACTTGCCCAAGGTCACTCCGCTGGCGGGAGGCAGCCAGGGCCAGGTACAGAACCCAGCCCTGCTTGCCCGCTGGTCCCTGCTCTCTCCCCAGCGGCCCCTTTCGCTTCTGTGTTAACTTGGAATGGCTTGTGTGTCTGTACAATTTGTAGCTCCTCGGGGTTTGTCCTCAAGGTATCAGGGATTTCACCTGCTGCAGGAGAAGCAACGTCTTTTTTTCGTGACCTTATTTTAAAAAAGTGAGCAAAATATAGCAGTCATGATGGTGTATTAGCAGAAAGGTTTTCAAAGGAAACTTCTGTATTCTAGAGCAGACCAATGTGGTCTGGCAATTTTAAATACCCTGGTATTGTATTAAACAAAAAGGCAATGTGTATGAGGTTTTGTTGAGAGAACATCTAATCACTTGCTTTAAATGAATTGATAGTATTCCTCTATAAGCAGATATATGAAAATCACATACATTTAAAGTGAGACGGGGTTGTTAATAATTTAAAGTAGTTCATGTTTTGGTCTGAGTGGATAAAGCAAGGAATTGTATATGAAAACAAATAATGTGCATCCGGCTTCCCCTGAAACTATCCTTGATCCTTCCTGTTCCCCTTCATTTTTTCCCCTCCACCTGCAATGATCCTGGTTCTTATTTTTACTCCATTGTTACATGGAAATTAACAAAGGCAGGGTAACTAGCCCTTTAATTGTGTCTCTTAAATGAAGAGTTAAGCACAAACTTTTGTGATGAATGACCTCAAGACTACTGTTTGTGTATTACAGTAGTAACAGGAGGCTCTAAGCAGGATTGGTACCCCATTATGTGGTAGGAACAGTAGCAAAATGACAGTCCCTTCCAAGACAGATTAACAGGATGGTAGAGGCACAAAGAAGAGCAATATCATGTTTCACTGGTTAACTTAACTAAATGGGCTTTTACAGAGTAACATGGCTTCCCTTCTGATAGTTAAAGCATAAGATAATTGTTGTGTAAATGTTTTAAAACTTAGGCCTGGTCTACATTACAAAGTTAGGTAGATGTTAAGACAGTAGGGATGTAAGAGTGTAGCCATTTAAATGGGTAGCTGATAAGCATGAGCTTATGGGTTACCCAAACAGTTCCACACACCTCTTGGTTTGGCTCCTGGGGAGCCTGCTGCTGCCCCACACTGTTGCTTCTGTACCAGGGACAGCAGCTAGTTCCCTTGGGAGAGGGGTGAAATGTGGGCCCCAGTATACAGAGAGTTAGCTTCTGTTTGAGGCAGCAGCACAGGACAGCAGGCGGGAGCTGGTACATGTAGAGAGCTGGCTTAAAAGCTCTTTCCTGATGCTCACCGGCTCCCTGGGAATTGGCTGCTGCCCCTCTTTGTGATTGTGTGTAAATGCTGAAATGTTCTGCAGTTGCACCGTTAGCCAATTACCCACATTTTAACATCCCTAAAGACCTAACTATGTAAACATATACACTAAAATTTTGCTCCTGACAACCTAACTCACCTGCTACTCTGCCTTAACTCCACCTCTGAGAAGAAGTCAGTGTACTTTTAGCTCAGGATAGATTTTGCTTTATTTGCATCCGCTGTTACTAGCTTTCAGAAGCCACAATGACTGTATGATCAGTGAAAATGATCTTGGTGAGCATGCACACCACTGGTAAAAGCAAAGTATAGATAAGCACGGGCAATGCAATTGTCATGGTGGATGTATGTATGGGTGTAAATTAGGTTGACTTAATTGTGTACCGTAGAAGTACGTAGTTACTGTATTATGTAGCAAAGTGTTTCTGTAAAATAAGGATATTGAAGTTTTCAGAACTGCACAGTATTACGGGTTTTTCTTGGTCTGAATCCTGATGATCATCTCCAGCCTCCCATACAGTTCCATGTTGGATATTATGTTGTCAGCTAAGACCCTGATTCTATGGCAGAATGTTGTGTTGGGATGTCATATAGTTACAGTTTGGCTTTGATTTTAAAATCTGTAAAAGGAGGAAAGTAGGTCCCATAACTTCCTCCTGCATTTTAGAGTGTTAATGTGTTGGAAGACTACAAAAATAATTGCAGGTCACCTTTGTAAAACAAAGCAAAAAATAAACTGCTTGGAATGGTTTGATTGCCAGTTATGAGTTTTCTTTCTGCACAATAAAGCTGTGCTATCAATCACACTGAGCCATAAAAGTAAAGTTATGTTACCTTTCACTAAGCAAATAAAAGTACATAGATATTATTGTTGCAGTATATCCATTATATTTAACTATCTGGAACGAGGTTTTGGTGCCATGCAAACTGCTGCTGTATGCATTTCCCACTAAGAGATAGGGAAAGGGTAAAAGAAGGGATTTAACATCTTTTTTTGGACTAGCTTTGTTCTGTGACTGCATGGGTGTTAACAACCCACTTATGTTGCCTGAAACCAGGGCTTTGGAGCGGAGTCCGGAGCTGGAGCACAGAGCAGTGGAGCTGCGGATTTTTACTTGGAGCTGGAGCAGAGTCTGCACAGAAAATATTGACTGCTCCACTGCTCCATTTTCTTTTTCATTTTCAATCCAGAATGAATGATATTTTAGCAAGAAAGTCCTAAAGGTGCCAAAAAGTTTCAGATTGTATAACAATTGATATTAACATCTACTTTACCACTTTACGTAATATATCACAGTTATTCTCACTTTGGCTGAAATCAAGATTTAATGTACAGATACAAAATTACAAAGTTTTTCGGAGATATGTTTTATTACAGAATCAGATAATTATCAGACAACCGGCAACACTGCAGACTGTTCCCACCCTTGTGCCAAGGTTAGGCGAGTACGTACTCACGTAGATTAGTTAGTTAGATTAGTATGTGTTTATTTTCAACCTTGTAACATATAGCCTTGTTACTTCCTGTAGCCAAACAGGAACCCCCCCGTAACATCCATTTTTTTCTTGCCTGGGGGGCACAGAGCAGTAAGCCTTGAACAGAAGGCCTGGATGTGCAGGCTGCTGTGTAACCCTGGATAGCTGTAAACAGAGATACACCAATTGCTGACCAAAAGCCTGCCAAGGAGTGCCCTTTACTGAAACCCATATTAATACAAATACACAGCCGTCTGCGGGGGAAGGAATCTCTCGCCCAGTAAAAAAAATAAAATAAAGCAGAGTACTTCCAATTTATCTCTTACAAGTGTAAATTAAGTTCACAACTTGCTTGTAAAAACTGGCGTCACAAAAACGGACCAGTACAATTTGGCATCTTGGATAAGACAGAGGATACGGGCCCCTATAGGTATAAAGATGGGTCCAGCAGCACATTTACTTTGAGTGTCAATCTACCATCTATCCGCTGGTCGGGTTAGGTGTTTGACCTCCCGAGGTTCCACGGGGACGCCCACCTCGTATTCATCTTTCCTAGGAATTGAGGGACCGGCCCTGGCCTGACATGCTGGAGTCGGGAGACACAGACGGGGGTAAAAATTGTACCTGGATGTGGTCCTTTGTCTTAAATGTACACATAGACTTAGAGCTCTTTAAAGATTAAGCTGTCACTTGGTACCATTATTTCTATTTTCTATCTTTATTTTCTTTGTAACCATTTTTAAGATCTATATTTGCTAGCAGTTAAGAAAGAGAGCAATAGCCAGATTTATAAGCTTCTTGAATAAACCTGTAACTGTTTAAGCTTGAACCTGACTCCTTCAGTTGCTGTAACAGAACCAAGCACAATTTTAAAAAACTTCAGCCGGTCATAAGGAACAGGTATAGGAAAAGCTTGGGCGTTTTGGATCATATCACTCCTAGGTGACAGATCTGTTGGGGCATCTCTCAGTCTTCCCTAGACTGCCTGCTGTGAAGAAATCGTGTATACTAGCAGCTAAAATCTAAAATGTAATAAGCTCTTCCTATAAACTCTGGGGCGTCTGTCAGCCTATTGGCTGCCCTCCGTGAAGGGATCCTGATCCTAACGGACAAAGACACGGACGTTAAACTTCTCGGGGCCTTGTGTCCCTGCAGTTAAGGACTCGGGTGTCACACACACACACACACACTGCCCTAACCATCGGCTGACACTTCTCAACAATTAATATTGTAGAACAGCGATAGCACGTACTAACGCTATGGCATATACCAAATTTCATTGATATATCTATATTAAAGCATTTTTTAGATTAATTAAAAACTTGAATATTTTTGAATATTTTTATTGAAAAATTTCATAAACTAACTTGCAATTTATAAATAAAAATTTATATTATGTTAAAAATATTGTTAAAAATAAAAAACTGCGAGAAACATGTTAAAGTATATTTTAATATTTTAATAATAATATTGTGTAAAAAGAAAATATCGTCACTTTTGTCCAGAAGTTCCAAAATAAATTCAAAATACCTTAAGTGGTTAAGATATCACAAGCAGGTACATTATAAAAAAAGTAATGCTTTTGTTCATTGCTTTTTGAAGATCATAACGAGACATTTGGATGCAGTAGCAGCACAAGAAGATTTGGCCATGGCTTGAACAAAAAAATCAAATCTGCCCCCCATGATTGATAGCCGATTTACAGAAAAGGAGCTCAGCAACATCTTTACTTTTTAATTTGAAAAGCCCAAATTTGGACTTTTGGGAAAAGCAAAGAAGAAATTGGCAACGTGAACGGTG